TATATATGATGTTTTGACATAAAATATAAAGTTTGGGAAAAATTGGATTTAACTTACGAAAAAATCGAGTTAAGATTTGTCTTGTAATGAGCCATTTTGAGAAATTAAATCCATAAGTTTTATGATGTCAGTTTAGGACATATCTACACCAAAATGAAGTTCTTTGAACCTAGTTTCCAATGGTCCAAACCATTTATTCATACGACATAGGGATAGAGAAATATGAATTTTTAAAATAGGGTCGCCAAGTCACGTTGCCGCACTTCAGAGAAACTGGCAGGTTTATAGGCCAGGTTGCGATGTAGTTTTCTCCCAAAATGTTACGAGTTACAAGGATATATTTATATGGTATTAAATCTCCATGTGTCTAGTTTCTAATGCTTAAAATCATTTGTCAATACAATATCATAGTAGAGAGATACAAGTGTCCGAAATTGCACTGCTCAAGCTGCCAAGCAAGCAGCTTACCCATCTGTTTGGAGAATTGATGTGGTGGTCTTATTCCCTTATATCTCGTCAAAGATACAGATGTTACTCACTCCAAAAACACTCTCAAACTCTCTCAAACCCTCCCTATCATATACCAAAATCTCAAGAATCAAACTCAAAGAAATTCAACTCAAATCATCAGGAAAGGTGTTAAAGACTACAAGAAAATGCTTCTATGATGTTGTGGTGTGATTGAAGGCTATTGTGAGCTAAGTTGAGATAGAGTTTAGAGTTGTAGATATTGTACAAGGTATGTATAATACCTTTTTGATTGTGCCTAAGTTTAATCTTGTGTTGGTTGTGTTTTTTGAATGAAAAATCATAAGATAGCACTTGAAAGAACATGGGATATGGTTGTCTTTTTGGTAGGACTATTTTGTGGCTAAATATATGATTTGTGGTGGCTGGAAATTATGAGAAATAATTTGATAATGTTGTGGCTGATGTTGTTAAGCTTTTCTAGATGTTAATTAAGTTGATTGAAGAAGAAGAAGAAGAAAAGATGAAAACAAGTGATTGACAATAAAAATTAAGGTGCTAAATTGTCACAATCCTAGTTCTCCCTCCCTGAACTGTCGTGACGGCACCTAGTCTCTATGACTAGGTAAGCCTAATAATTTGCGAAAAAGAAAATGAAATACAAAACTGGCAAGTTATGAGTAAGAACATAAATAAGAGTTTAAAGATTCCACTGGTCATATACAATACATACTCTCATAACAGAATCAAACTCCCAAAACCCGGAATCTTATGAAATCACAAGTTGTAGAATAACTACATAGTGTTCTAACTCCAGAATGTCTAATCAAAAGTAAATACAGTAAGTCTAAAGCTAAAGGGAAGAATAGAGAGGGACTCCTAGGTCTGCGGACGCGGCAGATATACCTTGAAGTCTCTAATATCGCCCGCCTCACTAATAGAACGGCTAAGCAGAAGAACCTGGATCTGCACACGAAAAACATGTGCAGGAAAGGACATGAGTACATCACAGTGGTACCCAGTAAGTGCCAAGCCTAACCTCGGTCGAGTAGTGATGAGGAAGGTTAGGGACCTATTGGTTATATACATAAAACAAGGCAAAACAGTATGAAATGTGACAGTATAATTAATGCACTAACAGTTAATAGAGAATAAAATCACAAGAAGAATGTAACTCAGTACACAGAGATAGAAACAGGGGGTCTCCCAGGATATCGTCCCGTAGTCCCAAACGTAAAAGTGCAGAGGATCTCCGGGAATACCAATCTGTAGTCCCAAAGTAAATATCCAGTACAGGAGAATCTCCCCGGTGTCGTCCCGTAGTCCCAAATATAAACGTGTAGGGGGATCTCCTGTAATACCGATCCGTAGTCTCAAAGTAAACATACAGGGGGATTTCCCGGGATATCGCCCCGTAGTCCCAAAGAAACAAACAACAGTATCAAGAAAAAAATCTACAGTTCTATTCGTGAATAAACAGGAATTCTACTCTAAATATGCTGCACAGAATACAAGTAAGCAGTTAAAGCAGGTAAGACAATTAAAACACATAAGCATGTTTTTCCTAAGCTAAACAAGAGGCTTAAAGTACAAGTAATATTTACTTAATAAAATGGGATTTCTCAACAATTAGCATGTGTACGCGCTCTTCACCACGCGTACACGGCACTCATATAACAACAATACCAAAATCCTAAGAGGAGTTCCCCACATAAGGTTAGGCAAGTCACTTACCTCGTACCGGCTCAAAATCAATTCGAAATCACGCTCTTCCCATGAGTATCCAACTCCGGGTGGCCCAAATCTAATCAAATTAATATTATAACGTAAATACAAGTATAAACAACTAATTTAGCTAATGAAATCGAAGCTAAGGCCAGAAAATAGAAAAATGCCCAAAAATCCTCCCCAGGCCCATGTCTCAAAATCGAGTAAAAGTTACATATTATGAACCCCCATTCACTCACGATTTCACTCGTACCAAAATTATCCAAATCTGATGTCAAAATCCCAATCAAAACTCGAAATCTTAGTTGAAGAACTCTATTTCATTTTTCCCAATTTTTCACCCCAAATCCAAAATTAAATGATAAAATTAATGATAGATTAGTGGGATATAACCAAAATCAAGTCTTAAATCATTACCCAATTGATATATCTAAAAATCCCTCAAAACCTCGTCCAAATCCGAGCTCCCAAATTCTAGTTTTGATAAAAATGACTAACCCTCGATTTTGAAACTTTATAATCTGCCCAGGTAAATCCTTCTTCGCAAACAAGGAAGGCCCCTCACATTCGCAAAGCACAACTTGACTTGGCCCAGAATTCCTTCATCACAAACGCGATAGCCACTCTCTCACTCCTACGCGAACGCGGGACCCTCTTTGCAAACGCATAGGCATAGGACCTCTCAGCTTCGCGAACGCGGGACCAACATCGTGAACGCAAAGCATTAAATTCCCACCTGCCCCAGCTTCTTTTCGTGAACGCGAGACCCCACTCGCGAATGCGAAGAAGGAAACCAGAACTGGAAACTTCTGCAATTTCTACAATCTTCTTCTTAAGTCTAAAGGTCTGTTAACCACCCGAAATGAACCCGAGGCCCCCGGGACCTCAACCAAACATATCAACAAGTCCTAAAACACCATACGAACGTATTTCAACCCTCGAATCTTATCAAACAATGCTAAAACCACGAATCACTCTCCAATCCAAACCTAAAGAACTTGAAATTTCAAGAATCCTGCAACCGATGCCGAAACCAACCAAAGCAAGTCTGATGGACCCCAAATTTTGCAAACAAGTCACATTCAACACTACAGAGTTATTCCAACTTTCAGAATCGGATTTCAAACCCGATATCAAAATCTCACCATCGATCCGAAAACTTCAAAAATTCAACTTTCGGCATTTCAAGCGTAAATAAGCTACAGACCTCCAAAACGCAATCCGAACATGCCCTAAGCCCGAAATCACTCAACAAAGCTAACGGAATCTATAGAATTCCATTCCGAGACCGTTTTCACACTGTTCCGACTAAGGTCCAAATTCTAAAGTTTAAGCTCTCATTTAGGGACTAAGTGTCCCAAAACACTCCGAAACTCAAAACGAATCTTTCTGGCAACTCACAATAGCAGAAACTAACACGGGAAAAAGCAGTTAATAGGGGATCGGGGTGTTAATTCTTAAAACGATGGCCGAGTCGTTACATAAACGTATGGGGCTATTTTGGAAGGCATTTTGTGGAGGTTTTAAACTAGAAATAATATGGTACATATAAGTATGATGTTCTGAAGGTTGTAAACTAATTTATGGAATAAGATTGATTCAATTTATATCTTGTTATGAGTAAAAACGATCTTGCCGCTAAATATGATTGTTAAGATAATCGGAGAAAGTCATATTGGATTATATTATTGTTGTTGTTATTGTTGGTTATAGTTGTTGTTGTTGGGCTGTTGATGACCCTTAATGGTCTTTGGGATATTAAAAATAGGGGAGTTGCTGCCCGATTTTTCTTATATCATATAACTAGCCAAATACGATGGTACGATATTATATGTTAACAGCAATATTATTTCACTTGTTGTAGATGCAAGAAGTTGTGTTGAGCTTGGTTGAGAGATAAGAAAGAGATCATACAGGTATGTTAAGGCTAACCCTTTTTTCTTTTGGCATGATCCAAGTAACGGCACGTAAACGTAATGTCATTCCATAAAGTGTTCTACTCTTAGTAGTTAAGGATGTCTACGTTATTCATTCCTATAGAGTGTAATTCAAAGCATGTCTAAGTATGTTCCTAAGTCTTTATTGAGGTATTTGATAAAGATGTTAATGTTTATAATATAGTGATACATGCATCTTCATTTACCATCGTGCTACGGCCGGTTGGGCAGACATGCATCTTCATTTACCATCGTGCTACGGCCGGTTGGGCAGACATGCATCTTCATTTACCACCGTGCTACGGCCGGTTGGGCAGACATGTATATTCATTTACCACCGTGCTACGACGGGTCGGGCAGTAATGCATTTACTACCGGGCTACGGTCGGTCGGGCAGTTACCATCGGTTGGGCAATTATATATCATTATTTACCACCAGTTGCACTACAAGAAAACTAGCCTTTAGAGACGATAAAAATGGTCCCAAAAAGTCCAATTCTGGTCTCAAAAGATCAGTAGGGACCAGTAAAATCTGGTCGCCACCGGTCGCTATAGGCTCCCTCGCTAAAAAGCAATAAGGACGACTGTAGTGACTGGTCGTTAATGAGTTTTACCGACTAGCAATATTCTGGTCTCTAAAACACATTTAAGGACCATATTTCTGGCCTTTAGACAAAGACTCATCTGGCGCCTAAATATATTTAGTGACCAAAAATTATGGTCCTTAAAGATCTTTAAGGACTAAAAGTCTATTTGCTAATTCTCTAATATCCAATTTATTAACATAATATTATACAATTTGAAACAAAAATAATTAGCTTAATACAGACAAAATTATCAGTAACATCAAGCTTTCATAAATGCACATTAAGATTAATCATACAGACCTGTAGATTTTATTAACATGTCAACAAGGAGGGGGACATATACCTTACCTCCTACATATTTCTGAATTTAGACTTTACATAGTATAACCATCTAAATATTCTCGCTATACCAGTCTGTCTAATACACTCCAAAGTGAGTAATTCAACTAATATAAGTTGAAAAAATTAGTTTGAAGGCAAAAATTAGATCAACCGACAACTAACTGTAAATGAATAACTCAGTTCTGTAGCAATAAGGAAAAAGAGTTGGACAAATTGTGTATTAGCTTTTGTTTGCAGGAAAAATGTCTAGTATAAGAGGTCGGTTCTGTTGTTGTGGTTTGATCCCCTTCAGCCAAATCTTTTTTTTCTACCATGAAATTGTCTTGATTTTATATTCAACAAATCTTTATTTCTGCATCCACTACGCCCTGAAAACTTCACTTGGTATCAATCTCAACTTTTGTTAAAACTGAGTACGTCAAGTCGTTGAACTCAATGGAGATTGAATCTCTACAGCAGTGTCTAAAACTGTGCACAGCTGAAACAAACTAAAGTTAAACACTATCAAGCTACTAGCCTTCAATTGCATTAATTTTCAAACTCTACCCTAATATTTCAGCTTAGTACCTCTGGGCGCAGTTGTTAAACTCTGTACAGCCTCTGAGGGAGCAAATTTCTGCTAGTGTAGCATCTTCATATGGACTCTGTTAGTCGAAAAAAATTGTTGTTGACGGTATTCTTCATATCTTCATTAAGGTTAAAAAATTTTGCACTTTATGTTCAACTTCTTGCTATTTGAATATACTTGGTCCTTCACCTTGTACTTGCACATATTAACACCACATCAGAATAACATATAAGTACCTGCAATGTCCAAATTATCCATTTCTCTAGCAAGAATACATTTAACTTACCAAGAATGAGCCACATATTTACTATCTTTTAAAGCAGCATGTTCATATCATTCAAGAAAGTAATTTCCTTACACAGAGAATCATATAAATGAAATCAAGACATTCTGAACAATGACATAGCAGCTCAAATAGAGAAAAAGATTTCTTTTCTAGCACTGCTCAAATACTACACTTCCTAACTAATAATTTAGTAATTTATGATAAATGAGGTATATAACTTATTCACAAACTTTAATATCACTCAAGTCATGACAAATAACAGTATTCTACACTTTAATGATATTATTTTGGGGGGAAAAGGTACAGTTGCTCAGCCTAATTTAACCACATACTCATATGTTTGCTCCTAATATTCCCCAAGAAGTCAAAAAAGTCAAACAAGGTGAAGGATAACAATAGCTAATCCTGAAATATAGCAACTGATATTGAAAAATATATTAGCAACCAAAATCATGATTTCATTAGCAGCTAAGAAATATAACTAGAGATACACCAAATACATACATACATGATCCAAGAAAAGAATGGTGAAACTAAGAATTTCTACATAACTTACCACCAACGAGATTTCCTTCACAAGAATATTATACATTTCTATGGATAGAAGATTATAAAAATCCTGGGATAATGCAAATGTTAAATCTAAGATGAGAAAATAGATACAAGTTAACTCAAAGGGAATATCGTGGCCAAACACAAAGAATATTTTAATCAACTGATCAAACATAACCCTCACAATTAGAACAAAGTATAATATAGTATATTATTTTTACGAAGAAAAATCAAAAGAAATCAGAACTTAGTAAGGGGCCCTCTAACTCTGCTGTCTACTCACCTACTTAGAGATATAAACAATTAAATGAACAGGATAAATTTTAGATACTGTGCTACATCTTTTTATAGCCCCTGGAAAATAATCTCATTCTTGGTACAAGTTTTGAAGTTCAAAATTCCTAATTTAATTACTAACACCCTTATTTCACTACATAAATTATATAATATTCTTTTATCTTGTCGCTTTACTAGTACCCATCACATTTAACACCGTAAAAAGTAAACAAATATCCTCCAGAGACCCTTCCAAAATTATTATGTCATAAACTGATATTGACATTTAAAATTCAAATTCATGAAACAGTATCCTTATCATTACATTTGGATTCACTAAGATGTTAGATGTGATAATATGTAACAACTCATATGGAATTTATACATTGACAGTAAAGAGCGAAAAAGAATAAAACAAGCAAATAAACAAAAAATTTAAAATTTAACAATCAAAAAATAAAACTTTGTAATCACACTATAACGTCATAAAAAATATCTTGGAATGAAATCACTACCTCGTTGTCAATAATGAGAAAAATTTACTTCGTTGGACAATGTTTATTGAGGAATCCCAAAATATTTCTGGAGTTCAAGCCCTAGCTAGACCTGTTGTAACTTTTGGAGAAGAATCGAACCAAACATTAAAAAATAACCAGATAAATCATTATAGAATGTATATAAAAGAATAATTTTTGACATACCCAAAATCAGCCCACAAAGCTTGTACCAGATTTAGGAACAACGCAATATTCGACAACAGCTATGTAGTAGGAAGAACATCCATACTCAGTCCAACGGCTACCCATGTCTCTCCAACAATAGAAGAAGAAATCGGAAGAACGAAATCTTTAGAGATGATTTTGGTGATCTTACGGGTTTTGAGAGACGAGTCTAAGGTTTTTAAGGCTTTAAGAAGGAGAGACGGAGTTTTGAGAGAGCTGACTTCTAGCAACAGAGTTGTTATCTTTTTAATTTCAGAGTTTTCATTTTTGTTTATTTCATATTTTTAAGGCAAAGATAGTGACGCTCAATAACAGTATTAAGGACCAGAATTCAACTATTTTAGTGGCCGGATTTAGTCCGTTTCGCTAATTAAAAGGCAAAATAGAGAACTAGGGACCAGGAATAAATATCATCCATATATGTAGACTTTTAGGGACGAGATTTATCTCCCGTCACTATATTTTGTTCGCTAATAAGCCTTTTTCTTGTAGTGTTGGGCAGTTATGCATTTACCACCGAGCTATGGCCGGTCGGGCACCACTGATCAGTTGGATAGTCATGCATCAATATGGATAATTGTTCCAAAGAGTTTATATATATACATATAAGTATAACAAGTATGCATATATGGTAGTACTTCAGAGGTTCAGGTGATTCTTATTTCTCTTTTATTAATGTTGACTCATTATTATGTTTCAGTTCTGCCTTACGTACTCAGTACATTATTCGTACTGATGTCCTTTTTATTATGGACGCTGAATTCATGCATGCAGATATAGGTAATCAATTTGACTAGCCCTCATAGTCGACGAGGTTAGCATTCAGCGAAGGATTGGTAAGACTTCACTTCATTCGGAGTCCAGCCGAGTCTATAAGTCATCATGGCAGAGTTATGCTACAAACTTATGGGTAGGTCGGGGCCCTGTCCCATTTGATGTCAAATAAACTTAAAGGCTTTGTAGACATATAGGTTCATTATGTACAGTATGTCAGAGGCTTTGACGACCTATATATATTCTTGTGTTAAGTACGATGGTTCGCTGATATAGTGTTTGCTCACTTACAGTTGTACAGTATGAGTTGTGGTCATGTTGGCCTATGATAGTTACAAAAGGAATGAGTTCAGCCAACTCGACCTATGTATGTTCTAATTTTGGTAGAACGATCATGAGTTACAAAGTGGTTCGCTCGGGCCAGCACGGCACCAGATGCCAGCCACGCCTCCCCAGGTTTTGGGCATGACAATTATCACTTTTAGCCCGCGCCAGAAACTATTTATGTCTGGTAGTCGAAAAAGTGTATAAAATTTGTATAATTTTATATATAACATACAAAATGTATATATGTATAAATTTTATATATTTTTCGGCTATTATTTTTATCGCAGCTATGCCGTGTTATTTTTCCTACATTTTTATTATTTTCTGTTTTTCTGGTGTTCTTTCACCAGCAACTATACATCTATTGGATGCTAGTAAGGGTTTAATCTCTCCACAAATTCAATCAGTCGTACCAAAGTAAATAGAGATATTATAACGTAAAAACTTTTAACTTTCAATATATTGCTTCTTGTTAATTAGACTAGCCTCTATAATTTACAACATTGTGTAAGTACTATTATATTCATCAGCTCATGAATAAAAGAGTATCCTATATATGAATAATTATATAGTCGAGTTTCTTTGTTCTGATTTGACTTAAAAGTTTTTGACAGCACGAGTGTTTCTGTAGCTCGTGCAATAAATATATAGTTTAGCCTTTAATTAATACAAACCAGTTAAATAGAACAAAAGTAGGAAAAGAAAAGGAAGAAGAAGAAGAAAAGGAATTGTCAAAACTATCTAAAAAGATACTGATTTTCCTTGAAATGCTAAAAGGCAAGTAGGCATAATATATTGAATTGAAGTGCCAAGGCTCACACATTAATGGACGAGCCAATACTTTTGCGAAAATTGCCAATCCCAAGGAGAAATCACTCCCTTTTTTTTTTCTATATATTTTTATATTTATGAAGTATTTGGTTGATCAAGCTTCATTATTGATGCTAGCTTTCCTGCCATCTCCTTCTAGAATTTTTGCTTTTTTGTTTTTTCTGTTATGTAATTTTTGAAAAAGAAGGCACACAAAGGCTAGGCCTAGTGAATAGTGATTTATAAAGTAGGCAGCGAGTTATAAGGTTTTAGGTTTAAATTCTTTTAAAGATAAAATACTAGGTTACTTTTTTTAATATATTTAAATTTTGAATAAACAAAATTACTCGATTATGTACTATTAAGAAATAATAAATATGTAATAATTAATGGAGAAACGCATAAGTTGACCTAAACATCAATCTTACTTAAAAGAAATTGGAAAAGCTACGAGAGGAGCCTCATCTACATCTACTGCACAAATAATGCCAATATAAATGTTATCACCTACGTCCCTCCTGCCTGGCATGTATATCTTCCCATGCTTAGTTGCTTGCTTTCCTCACTAAGCGACACTGTTATTTCAATATCATGTCCATGTATATATCTCTAAACTACAATATCTTTTGACTCATTTTTAATAGCATAGTGTCAACCTATATTTTCATTGTTCGGAAACTAATTAACAATGGACGTGACAAATTATTTGTTGGATTTAATTACATTTTATGATCGTGCTACTTGAAAAGAATGAGCGGTTGTTAGGTGATTTGAAATTTTTCCTCTCTATAAATTCATAATCAAGGGAACAAGCTGATAGAACGTTATTATTGTTTCATAAAAATGATTAATCATGAATTATTAGAGTGGGCGAACGTGTACTTTCGCTTTCTACTTTTCTTTTTATTTTTGAGAGGGTATGATGTATACTATCACGGTCCAAAGCTAAAATATCCTGCTCAGGACAGCAATTATCCATGATTAGATTTCAAATTCTAATTACCCAAAGAAAGCAAGTATTGGCCATGCGGAAAAATTACTCTAGGCGTTAGATTAGAATTTAAAAAACGATGTAGTTCCGCTTCGATTCTATTTTGTTGTTTGGTTAAGGTAGAGTTTCTCTAATTCTTACACAATTACACTGACGTAAAAACACAAGTGAGATTAGTATTCAGTATGCAGCCAATAGCCATATAATGTCACCTAAATTACAAGACCTACATAGTTTTTTGTATATGTTGATGCACGTTAATCAAAATAGATAACGCGTAATTAATCATAAACGGAGAATTTATAGATACGTTTTTGTAGCGGAAGCACTATGATTGATTGAACTGTGATTAGAATCACTAATCGGTAATGGTTCTCACGGTATATCGGACGAACCCTTATATCATAGTTTAAACCATAATTTGAGAAAAGAGAGGTGAAAATGATGAGGGTTATCTCTCGTATATTTTAGTTGTGCACTATAAATATACTTACGAAGAAATTAGCAGTAATTAATTTGAAATTAATATATTGTTCCTACTGGCCTTTTAGAGCAATTTTATTGGTGGATTCAAATTCCAACAATATAAATTACTCCCTCCGGTCCAAAATAAGTGATTTTTTGGTTGTTTTCACACATATTAAGAAATTCACCTTTTAACATTAATTAGCAATGAAATTGACCATATTAACATTTACTATCTCTTCACATAAACACTCCTAACACATACTCCAACATTAATTACTCCAAGGATAATGTAGGAAAAAAATAATTAATTCATTCTTAAAATTTGAAAAAAATTATTTATTTTAGACCACAAGAAAAAAAAAACCAAAAAATCACTTATTTTGGACCGGAGGGAGTAACAATTACTCTTATATGCATAGATGAAGAATGAAATAATTAAATCTAATTGAGGCATCACATTGAAGCGTCTGAAAAAGGAGTGGCAGTTAAGACAGAAATTAAGGCAGAGCTGAATGTCCGGCCGCCGAAAACCTTATCTGTTACACATAATTTGACCACCGATGACGATGATTGCCACATAATAATGAGTAGCCGCGGCGTACAAGTGTTGCGCAGAAGGCCTTCCACCTGGTACAAAAAAGCGGAGGACTTGCGTTTCTCTGGGTACTTGCAATTTTGTTGAACAGTTGCAGGCGTCATTAAGGAATACAGTTTGGATTTACATGGAGTGTTCTACTTCTTTGGGTTTATCCACATTGGTTACATTATAAAATTAGTACAAAAACTCTCCCTTTGCATAGTCACATAGGACGTTGGGAAGTTACAATTAAGCATTCCTATGCAGCTACGTACGCTCATTAACTCAAGATATAGAAAGATGTGTTGTTCCCTCTTCTTTTCTTGTGAGAATTTTTTTTTTAAAAAAAAAAGCAAAATACAGATAGACACTGAAGCTTTGCTTAACTGTCAGTTTGACACTTAAACTTATCTAGTGGCCAGATAAACATCTTTTCTTGGCAAAAGTGTCTCGTGAGCCCCTCAAGATGATAAACCTCACGCGTGAAATACAAACACCACTAACGTGTTGCAGTAACGAATCAACGCATCACAGATGATAAAAAAGAAAAAACTGAAAAATTAAACCCAAAGAAAAAACTAAAACAAAAAAATTACCACCTCAAGGGATACATGAGACTCACTTCTACCAAGAATAGGTGTCTATCTCGTCATTAGGTAAGTTTGAGTATAATATGTATTTATGTATTTTGCCAAGAAAAATATACTCTAATTTCTTGACGACTGAATAGAACAAACGGGCTACAACCATATTTTCATATAAAAAACAGAACTATTTTTTTTAAACTCATAACATAACTCTTTAAAAAACTGTAGCTCTAGCTTTCATAATTGGTGAGATAAACGATATTTTTACGTAGTTGGTGTTTACATCCCGACAAATCAAATCAATAATAATTTCACAAATTAAAGTGAATATAAATACTAACTTAATTATGATTATATATAAAAAAATAATATAAAATATTTATTTATTTAGTATAAATGTCAAATTAAATTGAATACTCCATATTTCTTCCTTTGAGAGATGAAGCGAAGCGAGCTGGTAGAGCGATAAGATGTGGCTACGTATTTTACGTAAATGTCATCTACTTGGCACCGTGCATGACATGCAAGTGACATCTTTGGCACTTTCCACTCCGTTTGGCCTCTTCTTTTTGAATTTGAACAAATGGGGAACTCTTTTGCAAGTGCGAAGTGTCCACTTTTTTCTAAGCCATTCTCACCCTTCCTTATACGTCATAAATTAAGCATGCCTTCACTTGATAATTAATTCTCTATGCATGAAGAATGAAATTAAACCTATGTATTAATATATACTAATTGATACCATTTAATTAATTTTTTCATGTCCAGTCAAACAATCCAACTAGTTCTGGATCTACTCCCAAGATAGAAAACCAACGACAAAAGGGAAAGGAGAAAATGGCATGGTGCAAAAGGCAACAATTTAAAAAGAAAAACAGAAGTAGTTACAATTATAATGAATGAGGTCATACAAGAAAGAAAAGGACAATCACAGTTGCAAAACCATGGCTCGAAACCGCCATTGCCTCGATATCTACACCTTTTGGGCAAAGCTTCAGTTTTATCTTCATGAAAATAAATTAAATAAATAGATAAGACCTAAAATTAATTGGCCAAATGATGTGGAAAATTAATTATATTTTCTTTTTCTTATCCTTTGGCATCAGTTTTAAGAACCATCATCTATCTTCACTACTATAAATTGAGGTCCTTGCCTCAGTCATTGCATCAACAATTCATTATAGCATTTGTATAGAAACAAACTTGTATACACAAAACAAAAAAATTGAGTTCTAGCCATGGCTGCATCTTTCTCAGTTCCATCAATGGTAAGATTTCATCATCCTTTTTGTTTTCCATTCAAGATTTGTTTATAAATGAAGCACATGAACAATGACAATTTATATAGTTGATTTCCACTTAAAATTCATATAGTTGATTTCCACTTATTTGTGAGTAAGCATAATAATTGTTGTAAGATATTTGTCTGTGTTCGAAAATAGTACATTGGTAGCTGGAAAAAAAAAAAAAAGAGGCTATATACAAACTCTCTCAATAGCGTGACGCCGCCTTGAGAAAACTGTTCAAGTTTGACCCAAAATGAACAAAGACCGACCCAATACGGATTCGGCCGAGTCTAGTAATTTTGTCCAAATTATATTTCTCATAGGAAATTTATTGAAAATATACAAATTCTTAATTTAGACCCCAGTAACCTTAAAGAACTAGAATTATGAGAAATTTATTGAAAATATACAAATTCTTAATTTAGACCCCAGTAACCTTAAAGAACTAGAATAGTGAACCTAGTAAATTCATATTTTGGTTCTGTGAAAATGAATAATATCAGATCAAGATAAGAGTATCTTTAGGTTCTTTGAGCCTAACAATATCTTTATTTGCTTCTTTACGTAGTATTTTTAATTTGTGGAATTTATGCATGAACAGATAATGGAAGAGGAAAGGAGATTTGAATCAGAGGTAGCAGAGGTGCAAGCATGGTGGAACTCAGAGAGGTTCCAGCTAACAAAGAGGCCATATTCAGCTAGGGATGTGGTGGCACTAAGAGGTACTATGAGACAAAGCTATGCATCCAATGAGTTAGCGAAGAAATTGTGGAGAACACTCAAAACTCACCAAGCCAACGGCACTGCCTCCAGAACTTTTGGTGCACTTGACCCTGTTCAAGTCACTATGATGGCCAAACATTTGGACTCTATCTATGTTTCTGGTTGGCAGTGTTCTTCCACTCACACCACATCCAATGAACCAGGTCCTGATCTTGCTGATTACCCTTATGACACTGTTCCAAACAAAGTGGAACATCTGTTCATGGCTCAACAGTATCATGATAGGAAACAAAGGGAAGCAAGAATGAGCATGAGCAGAGAAGAAAGGGCTAGAACTCCTTTCATTGATTATTTGAAGCCCATTATTGCTGATGGTGATACTGGATTTGGTGGTGCTACTGCTACTGTCAAGCTTTGTAAGCTTTTCGTCGAGCGCGGTGCTGCTGGGGTCCACATTGAGGACCAGTCATCTGTGACCAAGAAATGTGGTCATATGGCGGGTAAAGTTCTTGTTGCTATTAGTGAACATATTAACAGGTTGGTGGCTGCAAGATTGCAGTTTGATGTTATGGGAACGGAGACGGTTCTTGTCGCTCGTACTGATGCTGTAGCAGCAACCCTGATCCAAACCAATGTGGATACAAGGGATCACCAGTTTATCTTGGGTGTATCGAACCCGAATCTCAAAGGGAAAAGTTTGGCTACTCTTATGTCCGAAGCTATGGCAGCGGGCAAAACCGGGCCTGAACTTCAAGCCCTTGAGGATAAATGGCTGGCAATGGCTGAACTCAAGACATTTTCTCAATGTGTGGTTGATGCAATCAAGAAAATGAACGTTACGGAGTTCGAAAAACAGAGGAGATTGAACGAGTGGATGGCTCATTCAAGTTTTGAAAACTGCCTTTCACATGAGCAAGCTCGTGAAATTACTGAAAGACTTGGACTTCCAAATCTTTTCTGGGATTGGGATTTGCCTAGAACCAGAGAAGGGTTCTACAGGTTTCAGGGTTCAGTAGAGGCTGCAGTTGTACGTGGTTGGGCTTTTGCAAACCATGCTGATATAATATGGATGGAAACCTCGAGTCCTGATATGGTTGAATGCACAAAATTTGCCGAGGGAGTTAAGTCAATGAGGCCTCAAATTATGTTGGCTTATAATCTATCTCCATCTTTCAATTGGGATGCATCAGGAATGAATGATGCACAAATGATGGATTTCATTCCAAGAATAGCCAAGTTGGGTTACTGTTGGCAGTTCATTACTTTGGCTGGTTTCCATGCTGATGCCCTTATTGTTGACACGTTTGCTAAGGATTTCGCAAGGAGGGGAATGCTGGCCTATGTGGAGAAAATACAGAGAGAGGAGAGAGCCCATGGAGTTGACACATTGGCTCATCAAAAATGGTCTGGTGCTAATTACTATGATAGAGTTCTGAGGACTGTCCAAGGAGGTATCACCTCTACTGCTGCTATGGGCAAAGGTAACAAACATCTTACCCTATCCCTAAAGTTTTGTACTTTTTTTTATGCTTTATCTTGTATAGGAAATACGAGTTCAAACTTCTATATGCTGCCAGTTTAAAATAATTATTACACTATTAAGTCACTTTAAGATAATTACAGTGAAAAATAAGGCATGCTAGCTACTACGACAAGTTGAAATGCATCGGTAGTATAAAAATCCTTCACATTGTTAGTGTATGTATAAAACCCAAGAAGAATTATTAGTAATTATTAGTAACAATGTAAAATATTATCAAGTCACTTTAAGATAATTACAGTGAAAAATAAGGCAGTTAAATGCATTGATAGAATAAAAATTAAAAATTATTTACATCGTTAGTGTATATAAGTTAAATTCAAGAAGAATTATTAGTAACAGAGTATGTGAAATCTGGTAATTTGCAGGAGTGACTGAGGAGCAATTTGAGGAGAAGTGGACAAGGGAAGGAACAACAAATTTGGGTGATGGAAGTATGGTGATTGCAAAGGCAAGGATGTAAGAGAAAAAAAGTGAGTTCTTTTCAAGATGTGGGGAGCTTTGGAACAATCTCATTTTTCAAGTTGTGGACTCTACAATAATTATGTTTTCAGCTTTTAATAATTTTTCAGGAATTTGAATCATTTCGGGCATTATTTTGGCCCTCAAAATTGCCTAGTAGTTTACCATTTGTATCTCTGTCTCTATTTGGACTAAAAATTGTGCCCGATTTCCTGTTGCTGCTTAATGAATTTGTTGATCCTTTGACTACGCTCCAAAATTTAGCTCCAAGAAAGATTCTAATGATTTGTGAGATAATAACTCAAGGATGTGAAGCAAAGACCTTACCTCATTGAGGATTAATAGACTCTGATTTAAATATTTGCAAACTGATGATCCCTTGCCTGAAGTTAGCTGAGAAACATTAATTGTGTTCAATATGAAATTTGTTAGTCAACCAAATAGGAAATATTTTTTTAATCCAAGAATGCAAAGAATCATCTGTTAAATCTTATTATCTCATATGCAATAATGACAACTTATTTAAAAGACAGCCCAGTGCACGAAGCATCTCTTCGTATTTATATAGTATTCGGGAAAGGGCCACAATCCAACGGGAGTGTGATGTAGGCAGTCTACCCTAATGCAAACATCAGTGACTGATTCCACGACTCAAACCCACAAAGACAATTTGACTGGCAACTTATTAGATACATAAAAAATACAACTTGAAAAGAAAGAGGATGATACACACAGAACAAAAGAAGATGAAAAAGAGAAAGCGGTATAGTAATGAGATCAGTAAGAAATGAATTCAGAGAAAGTAATGTTGATTATGTGTTACTGATTATTTCTTCCAAGGTTTGAGAACCGAGAGCACGACAACGGCAGCAATAATCAGAAGAAGAATTATGGCTATTATCGTGCATTTTCTTGATTTCTTCTGTAAGCTCTTTGCAGTTTGAAGTGCATCTGTACCCATGTTAACGTGGTCCACTGCATATCTCACCTATAAATCCAGAGGAACAAATTTAACCAACAAAAAGTTAAGCACTTGACTTGAGCAATTCCAAAATATTTACTCCTATCAATTAAAACAGTAAATTTTGGGACAAATTGCAGCAATAGCCATTTTTAAGTCTGCTATTTAAAATATAGCCATAATTTATAATGTATTTAAAGATTAGCCAATTCACCCAAACTTCATGGAATTCAGGACATAAGATTCGAATTTCATGACACAATTTTTGAACTTTAGGACATTAAATTCTAGGACGCTCTGTCCTGAAGTTTGAGCGAAATTGGTTAATAGTTAAATATATTGTAAACTATGGATACATTTTGAATAACATGCTTAAAAGTGGCTACCTGGTGTAAAGTTCCACTAAATCTTCAAAGCTCAACGTCCTCTTATCCATCATTCCTCAAAATTTGCTCCCTAATGCTGATACCTGCTAAAATATAAATTACATCCTGTACGTCCTTGTATGATATTCTACTTTAAGGCATCTTAAAATATGTAAGATGTTCTAATAATATTTTTAAGTAGCTATAATTGAAAATATTGAAAGTAGGTCCATTGCCTCCTGAAGATGTAAAGAATCGTAGTCAAACGAAACTACCTGAAAATCTAAGATTTCTTCTGCTTAAATCCCTCTCTCATTGTCTTTTATCGAGAACATTTCGCAAAATAACAAAAATGCAAAATCTTGTTCAGTATACAAAATTGTTATTTTAAGGCCAATTAAGAAATTACATCTAAAATCCGTATTTTGATATAATAATAGATGCTTTGCAAAATAACAGTGTCTAAGTGTGAATAGAAAGCCTTAAGTACTCAATCGAGTATACCCCTCCAGAGATTCACAAAACTTTGACAGGCTAGCTGAAAATTTGAATTCTGAATTCGATTATATATATATATATATTTATTTGCTGGTCAGAATCATCAACTATATGTTTATTAAGAATGGATTATCTCAAGAAGCTTGGTGGCCATTAAAACAATAATGATATCAAGCTAGTTTAAAAAAATATTACAATAAATTGTCTTTAATTTTTACCTTAAAACAGCAATAAATAAGCAACTCCATTTAACTTCTCTAATTTGAGGAACTATGCAAATAGCTAGAAAAGGAAAAAAATAGACGAACAAGATGGGGTTAGCCATCCGTTAAAAGATTAGTCCATTTTACGCTATCAATAACTCTACCACAGGGCAGAATTCATCTCAGATTCTGCTATAAGCTATTTTTTACGACTTAAAAAGATGTATAGTTTTCCACAAATCCATGGACAATTTGCAGACAATTTACACCAAGAGCTAGTTAACATAGTGGCCAAAAAAAGAATATAATCAACAAGGAAACTATAGACAGGCTGACACGACTCGTGTGAAAATGTTTACGTTTAACTTTCTATCCCCCAATAAGCCAAAGGCAAACACACAAACAGTTGCAAGCATAGCTCGAACACAAACAATCAAGCGCCCTTGTTACTCTTCCAAGGTTGTTTGACAACGATGGGGACAACTATTAAAGCTGCTATAATTAAGATAATTATAACGGCAATGCACATGCACTTTCGAGAGCCCCTTTGTAGTTTCTTTGCAGTCTGAAGAGCAGTTGTCCCTGACTGGACATGATCAACTGCATTTGTCACCTGAACAAAATTTCCATTGAGAAATCCGATACAGTGGTGTGGAGACCCTTTCGTTTATAAGGTAGAAATATGTGAGAAATTATGGGAGGGATTAAAAAGCAAACCTGGGATTCAATATTATCTAACAAGTCTCCTTGAGCTTCAACCAGAACCGCCATGTCTAGATAAATCTGATGCAGATCGAGAAGCTTTCTCTCAATTTCCTTCACTGCATCATGTCTTTCATGAATTTCTTCTACGGTGCTTAGGACCTGCAATTGGGCTTATTATCAGCTGAAATAGGAGGGGGAAATAAAAAGGATAGACAAATGATATTTAAGGAAACACGCAATTTGTTATAAAACTGAACGCTCTAAGTATATAAAATATATTCCTCATCATTCCCTCGCTCTTTTTTTAAGGCCCTTTCAATTCTCTTTCTAGTATGGTTCCTCCATAAGAACGTTGAACGCCCAGCTTCGCAGAGCAGCTTTCTCCCCAGCCCAAAGCATAGTGTGTAATCTGGATCCTTTCATCAAGCACCATTTCTTTTAGATAGAAAAGTGTATTCATTTTCGTCTTTGGTAAACTTACCAAGGGCCATAGTCATAGTGATTCCCCTACTCAACTACTTCGACCATTTCCTAGCACCTCATTTTTTTTCTCCGGGGGGTCCGAAGAACAAACTTGCTGAATAGTAAGGTATTTACTATAAGAGAATGAAGTAGTAAGAGGTACCTGTCCACGCCCTGTTCCTTGAATAGCATTTTGGAAGATTTGTTCGCTGTTTCCGGTTTCTATCAGGTTGTTGATTGTCTAACATGACCATTATAATAAAAATTAGTAAAAGCAATTGTATTTATCAGAATTATAATTCGTACGACTTCGAACTCACCTCCTCATCCGGTCTAGTTCCAGTGACTGTTTAGTTGTGAGATAAGAAAAGAATAAAACCACTTATTAGATCAACCAACGTATCGAAATTTATACATTGATAAGCAGATGTGTCTAAAGTTATATTTCTTTTGGAATAAATGTGGGATCCAAACCTGTGATCACCCTTCGCTCTACAACCTCACGATATTCGTTGTCTATCCTCTGCCTTAACGTCTGGAAGAACATAAATCACAACGAATTTAAATCGAAGAGAAAGTCAGCACAAGCCAAATAACAAGGGTTTGCCTATACCTGAAATTCTATCATTACGTCTCTGAACTTCTTTGTCAAGGCACTGCAGATTAACAATAAAAAAAGAAAAACACGATTATGTTTGCTCAAGCACAAGAGATGGAAAACAACATCAAGCAATATGAAAAATTCTGTTCATTAAATGTACTTGGTCATATTTGTCCTTGATCTGTCAACACTTGTACCCTTTCCACATCCAGACTTTTGTCGATTAGCCAAGTTCTAAAGAAAAGTGAACCATTAGAGTGCTTTTAAATGATGAATATTGAGCTCAAAAACTGCTTGGGTGATCCAAATATAAAAGAACCGAGAATTTACCTCGTTATTTATTGCTTCTATTTTTGCTTTGACATTTCTTGCAATCTTCCCAACTTCATCTATATCTTTCTCCATCCGCTTCCTTATAGCTGGAAAAAAGTAAAAACCGCTTTTAACAGCTCGTGGTTAGCAGGCTACAGATTAAACTGCTATGATTGAGAAACATATATTTAACCACACAAGTATTCCAATAGTAAATATGTTTACAAAGTCGGTCAGCACTTGGCTAAAAATCAACTTGCCTTTAGTTTCATATTAAAGGAACAAAGGCCGATTTTCTCTTCAGTGATAGATAAACTTATGTATGTTAATATTTCACAAGTGTATTATAGTAAATGGATTAAGAAAATGCTTGCCTTCTGTTGACTGACCAACTTGACTATCTTACAGTTATATTTTTATGATACAGTAACCACTCAAAGGTAAAAGAGATCAGAATAATAAAAGTTGAATAGTTAATCTGTTAGCTATACAAAACAATATGAAAATACTTATCCGACCTTTCATTGCTGATGCTTTAGTAACAGATTTTGATTCCTCATTAGCATCCTGAAAGATAATTTCAGTTAGTAAATAATTTCCTACTAGAGAAAGGGTAAAGAAATTTTAATAAGATGGAAAAGATCGGAACACATGCCCTTAATCGCTTAATGCATTTAGCTTCAAAATGTAAAGAGAGTTAACGAGGTTTTAGTGAACCCAAGGATACCCACAAACCCAGACCCCATTTTATGGGACCCACAAAGAGAGTTAGTGAACCCATTTTATGGGTTTGTCGTTATTGTTGTTGTTGTTGTTGTTGTTGTTGTTGTTGTTGTTATTGTTGTTGGTGTAAGGATACCCACAAACATCCTCAAGCTAGAAATGAATCCAAAAAATATTGAACTCTCCCCATTACAGAGTACTGATATATGTTCAATTAAACACATTCACTAATCAAACAAACTCCTTGAACGAAATGTCATTCAATGCAAATTAAAAAGAAACAAGTCTATCAATCCACTCATGAGCTCACAGACCGACTTTCTGTAGTAGTAGCATATCTGGAAAGTCCCAATCCATGAAATAGAAGTTACTTTATCAACTTCTCAAAAGGAACTTGCTTTAGCAATTGGGCACTATAACGGTTGGTAACTGAATATTTCAAAATTACCTCGACTCAAAATAACCAACTTTATCCACTTCCCTCCTCCCACCATAACTGATACATTCCAGATCCACTAGGCACTACCCAGGTGTCATGTTTTTGTATAGATGTTTTTGCTTATTCAGTCTCTTAGTATAAACCTTATGAACACACATCACACTCCTTTATTCTTACTTCAGTTTTGGTAGAAGAAATATATATGACTACAAGCCTATTTAGAGACGTTTTGAATTAGCTGATTGTAAATAGCTAATAAGCTTGAAGTGCTGAAAAATATTTTTTAAGTGTTGAAACTAATTTTTTAAATAAGCATTTACCCGTTTGGATAGACGTGCTGAAACTGATAATAATCAGTTGATATGTTTGGTAGAAAAGTGTTGATAAGTTGTTCAATTATTAAAATGACTAAAATACCCTTAAAACTTTACAAAGTTTTATAAATTAAAAAGTTTTTTTATAAAGAAAAGGATGAACAACAAATATAGAATGAAGAAAAAGTTAAAAAATTTATTTCGAAAAATAGATTTTGTGAATTAAAAAAATATTATTAAGGATAAACTAGTAAAAGTCTCGGTCAAACTAAAAGTGCTTATAAGCTGAAAAGACATAAGTTAGGAATGACTAACTTATGACTTACGACTGATTTTAACTTATAAGCACTTTGGGTGTTTACCAAATGCGTAGATAAGCCAAAATGTGTTTATAAGCCAGTTTGACCAGCTTATAAGCTTAGCCAAACACACTCTTATCTTCTCCACCGTCTAAACACTGGTCTGAGAGCACATTCTTACGGAGCCAACAATTTATCCTGACTTCTTGCTTTTAGCAGCCAATTGAAACCAAGGGTCATTCCAATTCCTAATAGCCTCTTAATTTTCTATAACAAACTATTTTCTCAGACTGGCAATAAAGAATTGAAGATTATATTTTGTCATCAAAAGAGCAATTTAAAGTCTCTTTTCCCCCAACTAGTTTCCCATACTTGAACCCATATTCACACTGTTATCCTGCGCCATCCTTTAAATGTCATCCCCTACAATCAAATAGAATCATAAAGTTAAAACAAGCACCCTAGCTGTCTGAATTTCTCAAGTAATAGCTCCGATCTCCTGCGGAATGACACCGAGCATACATCTGCCAACACTCTTCTTAAGTAACAAACTTCTACAGTATATAGCGGAGTGATATTTTGATCATTTATAGATCAGAAGAAAAACAAAATACTGCTTAACTATGACTACTTTGTCGTAACCACTACAACTACACTCTTAGATTCCTTATGAAATATTGCCTAGTTAGCTCTTAGGTTTATGTCAACCGACTATCTTCTCAGACTACAAACCAAGATTATTTTTTGGGTCCAAAAGAAGTGTCTGAGCTAGCTTGTACGCACCTCGATTATTTTAGCAAGTACTTGCTACCTCCTACCAGTAGAGGCACTGTAACTCTACCTACCAAGGCTGGGGAAAAATCACCTAGTGGGTTTTGTCTAAGTTGGAATTCGAGTGTCCAATAGTTTTAACCCATTTCATTGATCCCTAAGTCACATCTTTGGGTGCAAAATGCCTCCTTTTACTTTTCTACTTTCTCCTACATATGGAGAAAAACCTAAACCCAAGTTCACATCACATATTTCTGTTCCGTCCCTTAATCCGTCATCCTTCTTAGCATACAATCAGTAATAATCACAAAGTAAGCAGCAGCATAGTACTTAAGTTCTCCAATAAAAGTGATGATCAGTGCTTGAAATGCATAATGAAACCAATTATACAGCTACCAATAGTTATTCTTAAGTAACAGACTTCCACAGTACATCAGGGACATGTTATTTTCATCGTACATTTATCTCCAAGCCTTGAATTCATTTTTCAAGTCCCAGATTTGGTAAACCTCAAAGATTCAGTGAGTATTTGTCAGCCAAATCACCTGAACATCTTCCGAGTTCATGATCTTGCAGATTGTGAAAGCGAATGTGGTCCCTTGAGAATGTCATTTTCAAGAGCCCATCAACTGAATTGCAAGATAGTACCCTCAACCCCACCCCCAAACAACCAAAAGAAGCAAAGCTGAAAAGATTTTGAACCAATGTTACTACCTACCTTAAACAGTACTCTGGAAAAATACTGTAAAAGAATTGTACCCTTACGACTCTAGAAAGCTCTTCAATTCACTCAATTTTCCAGAAATAGTTTTACCGAAAATTTAAAGCATGTAAAAGCAAGCCTCAATGAAGCCAAGATTTAATTGTCTTATAAGTGGAACAACATATATATGTAGCACAGCAGTTTCTCAAAAGAAGATAATAGATCCAAACGGCTTCTGAAAAGCAATTAAAACTAAAAAAAAGACACAGAATATGTATGAGAATACCTTAAGGCTCTTATTTGATAAGGAAAATAATAATTATAACAGATAAAATACCTTAAGGCTCTTCAGCAAACCAGATAGTTTATCAACCTGTTTCTCAATTTCTTGTATCTACAAGGGAAAGTAACATATGTGAGAAGCAACGTGAAGGGAGACTAAACATGCGAACTTTTGGTTCTTATAGTTTATCTTTTTATGAGAATCGCACTACTTTGATCATCTTAAAATAACTCAGGGGTCAGTGAAGTAATACCTGCTTATTGAAGGTGTCCATTCCTGAATCTGACTGACTCCTCGTAAACCGATTGCCCATCTCGATGTCAGATTCTTTGGAAGCATTATCTTTGGCACTAACGAAGCTTGAATCCTGAAACAGTAACAGAAATTACATAACAATAAATCTCAATATCACATAATTCCCCTTACTTGAAGCCAAACAACAATCAATGTACAAACGTTTATAACAAGTGCTTGAAGTACAAGATAATGTGAATATGTGATATAGATAAAGATCAAAACAAATTTATCAAGAGAACAAACAAAAACTCTAATTTATCAATATATCTGCAGTTAGGCTTTGAATTGCAAATAAAGGTACAATAGCTAGCAGGAAAGACAAGGAAAAGCATAACAAAAGAAATAAGAATATGGAGGAGTAACCTTAATTCTAGTTCAAACTCTACCATAAAAAAACTGATTTTTAATTCTGATAATCGTGGTGTCCGAGCCACGTGCACCTCGACTAATTCCATAGGATAACTACTACCTCCCACCAACACAGGTATCGGTAATTCTGTTAGCCAAGGATTTGAACCGAGACCTCATGGTTCTCAACCCACCACACCCTGGGTACTGATATTTACTAGTTGAATAACCAAGTATTCAATTGATACATATGATATAACAAACCAACTTACATAGAAATCCAATCTTTACAAATATCACCAGACTAGTATAAGCAAACTTAAGAGATGAACTTCAATTCACAACGAAATTAAACGAAAGCACAAACTGTGATCATAAAAACTGAAATCTTGGAGGCTAAACACTAGAAGTAACAAAAAAGTTTATTTTTTCATTTCATAGTAATCAAAACAGCAAAAGTATACAAGGAGTCTAAGAAAATAAACTAACCGCTAGCAGGTCATTCATGTTTTCAAAATTGGTAAGAAAGGAAGAGTTGAGAGAAATTGTTTATGGCCGTCTAAGAAAAACACAAGGAGGTGTTTGTTGATGTTGATCGGGAAAGGAAAAAGCAAGAAAGCTAAACAACAGTGAGTGTCAATATTTTATAGGTGTTTTCTTTTTGTGGGGTTTTCCAAGAGTATATTCTTCGTCTTGTTTGGGGCCGGGCGACCGGCGCAACAATGGGAAGACGAGAAGGACGAGGAAAAACCGAAAAAACAAGACTCTATTAGTAGTGTTAGCGCTCCCTATTTTTCCAAAGTTGGCTTCTTTCGTCCAAATTTGGCTCTTCTATTACTTACTCCCCTATTAAATGTGTTGTTGTAAACTTGTAATGAAAGGCGTTACGTCCAACAAAATAAATCGACCCATTCCAAAAATAGCCAAAAAAGAAAACAAAATCAGAATAAAATCATTAGTAGACTTTTATTCTACTACCAAATTTAGAGGGGTAAAATTTAATTATAAAAATAGGAAAAGAAAAACGGAAAAGAAAGGGAGAAAATCTATATCTTCTATATCTATATTAAAGCAAGAAAATTACCATATATAATTGCATTGTGGTTAAGCCAAGTGGCAAACTAATAAATGCAAATAGTATATGATAACATTATTCTATATTTGACTATGTTATATATAATAGCACGTGATGATTTAAATATTTATTTATATGAAGGAACAAAAAAATTAATTAATGAGAAACTTTTATGTATAATAATATAACAATCATCTAAATGCCGAAAAATATTATTACATTAGTATAATATATGAATTTAAAATAAAATGATGTGGTGACCCAAAAGGTCATCAATTATTTTTAAAATGAATTCTGCGTTCCGAGGCCTTAGAAACCTCTTTCAGCATCACTTGATTTGCGTGCGCAGTCCGGGCGCGTAGCCGGAAAGCTATTATGTGAAAACTGTGAAAAATATTGAAATTTTGACTTAAAAAGTATTTAAGTTGACTTCGGTAAATATTTTGGGTAAACGAACCCGGACCCATGATTTGATGGTCCCGGAGGGTCCGTGAAAAAATATGGGACTTGGGCGTATGCCCGGAATCGAATTTCGAGGTCCCAAGTCCGAGAAATGAATTTTTAAAAGAAATTATTTTTTGGAAGATATAAAGGATTTTGAAAGTGAAATGTTATGTGAAACCTGTGGTATCGGGCCCGTATTATGGTTCCGGAGCCCGGTATAGGTTTAATATGATTTATATGTGTTGTCGGTAAAGTTTGGTAAGAAACGGGATCCATTTGACGTGATTCGGACCTTAAATGCATAATTTGATGTTTAAAGAAGTTTTGAGAAATTTCATTGATTTTGAGGTTTAATTCGATGTTTGTGATGTTATTTTGGTGATTTGATTACACGAATAAGTCTGTATGATGTTTTTGAGGTTGTGTGTATATTTGGTTTGGAGCCCCGAAGTCTTGAGTGAGTTTTGGATAGGTGTCGGGGTGATTTAGACTTAGAAAAATCTGGTTTTCTGCTGTTGTTGGTGTCCAGTTATTTTGTACTATGCGATCGCATAGGAAGGCTCACGATCGCATGGTGTAAACTTCAGGGGTCCTGTTTTGTGATATGCGATCGCGTAGGTCCTTCCGCGATCGCGTAGAGTAAATTCTGGGAGGTCACAATTTATTCTATGCGATCGCATTGTTTCTTCCGCGATCGCGATGTATTAAACCAAGCCTGGGAAGGAACCCGTTTTCTTCTATGCTGCGCACGACCTTGAACGCGATCGCAGTGACCAATCTCCCTTACCCTATGCGATCGCATTCCTTTCTTCGCGATCGCATAGACCAAAATTCACCCAGTTATTTTAAGTTCAAAAACAGAATGTATTACGGGAATTTCACCATTTTTCACTTCTTCTCCACACCTCTTGGGTTATTTTTGAAGAGAAACTTCACCATAGCTTCATAGGTATGTAATCCTAACCTCGTTTTCTTCCATTTTTATCAACACCCATTAGATTTCTAGGCCTAAAACATGAGATTAAGGGTAGAAAATTAGGGAGTTGGGTAGAGTTAGGGCTTTTTGATTATTTGGGAATTTGACCTCGTTTTGGGGTCGGATTTCAAAACAAATTATATATTCGGGCTCGTGGGTGAATGAGTAATCGGGTTTTGGTTCGAATCTCGGGTTTTGACCAAGTGGGCCCGGGGGCGATTTTTGACTTTTTGGGTAAAAGTTTGGAAAACTCATTTTCATACATTGGGGTTGATTCATTTAACGTTTATTGATGTAATTAAGTAACTTGTGGCTAGATTCGAGAGAATTGGTAGTAGAATCAAGACGTGAATTGTGTTCGTCGTATCGAGGTAAGTGTTTGGTCTAACCTTAGCATGAGGGATTAGCAGTTGTGTCTTATTTGCTACGTGTTAATTGTGGAGTATGACGTATAGGCATGGTGACGAGTATCTATACGTCAGTGTCAAGCATGCCCGTAAGTCTTGTATTGTAATTGTTATGACTCCGTTGTGAATTATTGCACTTCACATGTTGTGGAAATATTATTGTTCCCTTGCCGGGATTCTTTGTGATTGTTGTTGATTTGTAACTGGGAGCGGGTGGTACGCCTGCCACAAGATAAATGAAATAGGAGCGGGTGGCACGCCTGCTACGAGGTACATGAAATGGGAGCGGGTGGCACGCCTCCCACAAGATAATTGAAATGGGATCGGGTTGCACACCCGCAACAAGGTAAATGAAATGGGATCGGGTTACACACCCGCAACAAGGTAAATGAAATGGGATCGGGTTGGGATCGGGTTGCACGCCTGCAACGAGGTAAATGAAATGGGATCGGGTTGCACGCCTACAACAAGATGTGAAACGAAAGCGAAATCTGCCTTTGTTTTCCTTATCCTTGTTAGTAGTTGGGTTTTGGTTCCTTTATAATGCTCTTGATATTCTGTTTTTACCTGTTGTTCCCCGAAGCATGTTTTCCCCCTCTCATCTTTACTTGTTTATTCCTGTTTTATTTTCCGTTGTATATTATATAACTGCACAGGTTTATTTGGTAGTCTGGTCCTAGCCTCGTCACTACTTCGCCGAGGTTAGGCTAGACACTTATCAGCACATGGGGTCGATTGTGCTGATACTACACTCTATACTATGTGCATGTCACGACCCGGATTTCTCACCCTCGGGAGTTGTGATGGCGCCTACTAATGTGAGCTAGGCAAGCCAAACCTTTAATCTAATTACTTCATTAATCAATTATTTCTTTTTAACAAATATAAGACGATAACATGGTAACAGCAAAAATTCAAATTTAAGCGGAAGACAACAATAAGATTTATGGAAAATGCATCTATTACAAATACTTAAGCTTTAACCACCCAAAACCTGGTGTCACAGTGTCACAAACTGCCTAAAAGATTACTAAATACAAAATCTAAAGAAAATGACAATACACTATTTCTGAATAAAAGGAAAATGAAATAGGAAATAGGAATAGAGGAGACGCCCTCTGCGGACGCCTGCAGGTCTACCTTGGATCTCCGCGTGGACTGAAGGTAGCCTCCACACTATGGTCCGTAAGCTGCTCCGGGATCTGCACATAGTGTAGTATCAGCACAACTGACCCCATGTGCTGGCAAGTGTCTAGCCTAACCTCGGCGAAGTAGTGACGAGGCTAGGATCAGACTACCAAATAAACCTGTGCAGTTATATAATATACAACGGAGAGTAAAACAGAATAAACGAATAAAGATGGGAAGGGGGAAACATGCTTCGGGGAAAACAGGTAAAACAGAATATCAAGAAAACTATAAAGGAATCAAAATCCAATCACTAACAAGAATAAGGAAAACAAAGACAGATTTCACTTTCTTTTCACATCTCGTTGCAGGCGTGCAACCCCATCCCATTTCCTGTATCTCGTGGCAGGCGTGCTACCCGCTCCCATTTCATTTATCCTGTGGTAGGCGTACCATCCGCTCTCATTTCATTTGTCTTGTGGTAGGCGTACCACCCGCTCCCATTTCATTATATCTTGTGGTAGGCGTACCACCCGCTCCCATTTCATTATATCTTGTGGTAGGCGTACCACCCGCTCCCAGTTACATTCCAACAATAATCACAAAGAATTCCGACAAGGGAACAAGAGTAATATAACAACTTTCCGGCAAGGGAACAATGATATTTTAACAACATCCCGGTAAGGGAACAATACTATCAAAACAAACATCCAGACAAGGGATCACTAATATCAAACAAACATCCCGACAAGGGAACAATGGTGATAATAACATATGAAGCGTAATAAACCACAACGGAGTCATAACAATTATAATACAAGACTCACGGGTTTGTTAAGAGGCCTTCCACTTCTCTGAACCTGCAACAACTATGTTTTTATGCCTAAAACATCCCGGAACCTACCCGAAACTCAGCCGAGCCCTCGGAACTCCAAACCAAGTGTTCATACTAACTCAAAGACATCATATGGACCTACTCGTGCGATCACATCATCAAAATAACATGTAAAATCATGAATTAAACCTCAAAACTCAACATTTTCATTAAAAACTCTCAAAGTTCATAACTCTTCAACCGGAAGTCCAACTCATGTCAAATAAACTCCGTTTTTCACCAAATTTCATAGTTATCTTTCAAATACTATAACAAGTTTGTATCGGGCTCTGGAACCAAAATACGGCCCCGATAACAATGATTTCAAATATTAATTCTTTTCTTTATTTCTTAGATAATTGAGTAAAACAATTTCTTTCAAAAATTAATTTCTAAGGCTTGGGACCTCGGAATTCATTTCCGGGCATATGCCCAAGTCTCGTATTTTACTATGGACCTCACGGGATCGTCGGAACATGGATCTGGGTCTATTTGTTAAAAATGTTGACCAAAGTCAACCATAATCAAATTTTTAACTCTAAAATTTTTATTTCTCATATTTTCACATAGAAGGCTTTCCGGAAATCACTTCTTTTATAAGTTTAAACAATACACAGTAAATTCCTCTGGATAAATAATGAAACATTTAACAACTTTTAAAATTTCTGAATAAACCCATAGACATTCCAGAACCCGGTGTCACAAGTGCATGAGCAATTTCTAAGAAATAATGTAATACAACAACCGTCCGAAATACAATATTGGACAGAAAATAAATACAGTAATCTGAAAGAGAATCTGCTGGATGCGGGTCGCCTTGAGAAGTGCAGCTCACCTAAGTCTCTATATCAACCGTGCTGTCACGCCCCATAGGCCACTAGAGACGCGTGCCT